GATCAGCTCCAACATCAACAGAGTCACCCAAAAAGAAAATCTCTTTATCGCCACAGACCAAGCCAGTTCAAACCATGGATGGTAAGTAAACTTTTCACTTCAAGGAATTTCCGACTTACAATTCTTAGGCATTGACTCAAGTTCCACTACAATAGACCCGAATTGCAACGAGATTGAGAATTCCTGTTTGTATATTTAGCCTCATGTGTTTAGTTCAGGCTGACTTTTCCAGGTCACAAAGATTTGGTCACTCTACAACCACAGTCAAGATATCAAAAGCAAAATAGATCAGTCTCTGCACCTGAGATTCCTACTTCTTGTCAGCCAATTTCAGCTCTACATGAACCGACTCATGTCATAGATGAGTGTGACATTTCTTTTCACGAGTCTTCTCAATACTATAGCGATAGTCTTCTCAGTATGCCATCACTAGACATATTTTTTGATAATGAGAATCCTCCACATGATATTAACTTCAATATCGGCGGGGACGAAAGTCACGAGCAATCACGCGGAAGTGAAGTACCTTCTAAAGAAAACAACCTTGACCCAATTTTTGCAGAGAGAATTCCAGGAGGTTGTAACTGCCTTCAATCTGCACTTTTGAGTCTCTCAAATTTGCATGCTGTCGTCTGCGGTAATCTCAATTCATCTTTAGATGGTATATTCGCTGCAGCACGAAATGGCCTATTCATTTGCGAAACTTTAACCCTGGCCCAGTGCTCTTCTTGCGAGCTCAGTTCCACTTCAACGTTGTTGATGCTTTGCGTGGCAATTTTACAGCAAGTATACAATGCTTACGAGTTACTTGCCAATCCTGCCGGCCTATCCACAGAAGGCTTGAACGGACCTGATAAGAAAATGACATTGAGCATAAAAATTGGAGACATGGAGTTCACTGATATTGGACACAATTCAAGTATTTTGAACGCCATTCTCAAGACGGAGAAGGCAAAAGCAGAAAGGATCTGTGTGGAGCTAGAGAAAACGGTCACCAATGCTCAATGTAGAGATTCTGTTGGAGTAGGAAAGGAAGAGACTATGGTGCGCGAAGGATTGGTTAGCTTGATTGAGATTTTCCGTGGGCGATTTATCACTGAAGTGGCGTAGAATCAAAATAACACAGTCATTCTACAGAAACTATTGGAAACTTTTCTATAAGCGTCTCATGTCTTGATAATATTAGTCCAGTCGCTAGCACGAAATTGATGTGTATCACGATCTTCATCTGCGTTTAAACCTGTATTCTTTACTTCTTTGAGTGGCTTGATACCAGAATTGGCCTTTACGATGTCTTTCATGTACCTGTAAAACAGGAAATGCTTAGCAAAATTACGATGTACTTAAAGCTATCGAAAAATTTAATGGTCAAGTTCATGGTGTTGGATATCCGATGATCGCTTCTATCAACAAAATCTGGAACATCTGTTCTTGACATGGTGGTATTGGGGGGAAATAGTTCTCCAGGACCAAAACCAAACCCCTTGATTGATTTTCTCCATAAAACGATTTCTGTCGTGGGTGTACCATCTAGAAGAGACTGTTTGCCTACTGACCAGCTCATTCAAAGGCTTAACTCATGCTCAGAGCTCCAGGTATCATCACCCGAGCCTTGCTCTTGTGGTGATAAAATTGATCCTTGATCTCTTCCAGTCGCTCTGCCTTCTCCCCTATTCTTGACTGTAGTTGTAAGAAACCAAATCATCGCTATCATCATCGTTTCCTTCATTGTCTTCTCCGTTATGCTCGACGACTTGGTTGTAATCAATGAAAATCATCTCCAGCAGAGAGACTATTTTTACGCAATTCAGCAGTCCCATGCTCCGCTTCCCATTTAATTTCTTCCTCGTCTTGGTCGGAATCTTCTGGATTTTTTTCTCTCTTCAATGAAAAAGCTGGAAACATTGGTAGAATTTGAACAAATACTAACTGTCGTCCCCGTATCCCTAATGATTAATGTGCTTCTTCCTCGAATTTCGAGAAAAATGGATAGTTAGACTTCTCTATCTTGTTTGATGTCACTCTGAGACTGCCAAATTATCAGGGTAGGTAATTTTTCTTCTCTCTTCACAGTTCGTCTTGAACCAATATCCGAATTAATAGATTTAGATGGCACGTTGCCCCGTCTTTTCTGGTTTGCAATAGACCTGTTTATATTCAATTTAACCGTATTCTGTGGGTCTCTTGACGAAAGAGACGCTGGTCTCTTGATGGATACATTGCCACATCATGAAGCTCTACTATGGTTCGTTCCGCGACTACGGTTTGGAAACGATTGCATATGGTCATTAGATCCAGCATCTTGCTGTCTATATTATGATCGCTGATGGAAAGATTCTTGACGATCTTGCATTTGAGTATTTTCCTGACTATATTTTAGCTGTTGGGTCATAAAAACTTTGCCTTTGCTTGGGGGTGGCCCATTGTCTGGATTATCATAAGATCCATAATCGTTCAGACTTGATCTTTGATTGTTATTGCCCACTTGGCGATTATTTCTTCTGTTTCAACTCACTTTCTTTGCGTTATTGCACATAGAGTAAGCGTCGTAGATTTTGATGTTTGTGGTTTTTACTTTGGAATTTTCGAAAATGTGCGAGCAGTGCGTAGATGGAAAAATCGCGCTAGTTTCACATGCGATGCAGATTCACTTCTATTGCTTGACTCACAATTCACTTCATCTTATCAAATTTGGCATACCTAATTATATCCTCACTCAGTCAAAATGCTATCGGCATTTACTCTCATCCAACAAACCACAGTAGCATCCGACGTACTTCCAACGCACCTCTCCGCATCGGCAGCGTAGCGGCTCAAATAAGATACAGCCCAATCATATGACACAGTTGGATCCAACAGTGGACAGCAGAGTTTACGCCCGTTAAGTAGAAGTTTATGTGATCTGATATAACAGTTGGCTAGGTATCAGAAAACAATTATATCTTGGGAGAAGTAAAAGCGAAAGCACTCAATGACCCAGTGTCATTTCTATTGATTTTGACCTCCAGCCACTTCACAATCTCAAGCTATAGAGAACAGAAGTTATCAGAGATCATGACTTCCCAACGACAAATTGACAAGATCTCGGCGATCCACCCACGGCCCGTTGAGATGCAAGTGTTATGTCTGGGTCTTTCCCGCACGTCAACAATGAGTATGCAGCGACCCTGCAGTCAACGCACCCCATTAACTAATACTATACCGGCCATGTATACCGCTTTGAATAAGCTGGGCTATCGATTTTGATGACTTCTTAGAGTTGACACCCCGCAACAAGGAGAACTCGAAGCTCTGTCACATTATTTGTTGGTTGGAGGCCCTGAGATACAAGGTGCTTGGCATCGGCGAACCATATCATCCAACAGACTTTGATAAACTTCTGCAAGGGTACAGTGTAGGTATATCCTGAGCAGATAGCTTCGCGTTTGAATGCTGGATTCGATTCAGGCCCTTAGTGACATGCCATGTGTCAATTTCTTTGATGAAATACTGGCGGCCTTTCCAAATGCTAAGGTATTTCTTACTCGCCGTGAACCAGTCGCGTGGGTGAAATCATTCGATGGCTCAATTTATAGAGTGTTGGAATGGCGAGTTTGGCCCTTTTTACAATTCATCGATCCTGTAAATTAATCAAGTCTCCTCATTGTTTTTCTAAATCTCGATACAACCTTAACTTTTTGCACAAGCTAACGGCCGAAATCTGCTATTGTATAGGAGGGAACGGGCGCTGTACATGGGGCCATGCGTCTTGCAATCACCGACTACACTTCTCCTAAGCCATGGACAGATCGCGAAGCGCTTGCCGCTCATATGTCGAAACATGTCGAGCTTATACATTCTGTAGTTCCCCCAGAAAACCTTCTAGAATTTCATCCTCGCGATGGCTGGGAGATTTTATGCAAATTTCTCGGGAAAGAAGTCCCAAATGAACCTTTTCCATACATAACAAAGGGAATTTCACAGTCAATGTTTTCAAAATTGTTCTGGCCCTGAAAACCATCAAGATATGTGGGCCATATTTAATGGCGTTGGGGGTGGCTATCTAGCTTGGGCATGGTATGGGCGAGGTCAACTGTCCCGTAGGTAGTGAGATGCTGGGCTAGCTTGCACCTCTCGCTCGAAGTTTAAGTCTTATGAGAAAGATTTTGACATGAAGATACGAAAATATTTGCTTTCATCGATGAATAGCCTCCACTCTCAAAACAAGTGCAAAGCTTGAAATTTACCCATTCAGCCAGATTTTTAGGCACGTGAAAAGGCATCTTAAAATTTACCAAACAAAGCTGATTCCCGAAATGAATGAACATGGGGTGCTGCGCATTATATTGACGCAGTGTGTAGGGACTAAATTGCAGTCCAGTGAACATTGGCCGCATCGGCCACACCTTGGTAGGTAGAGGATCAATCCGTAAAGCCCGTAATATGTCTTAAAATGACTGCACGATATCAGGCCACCTTGGTTGGTTGCAACGCCAAAAACGGTGTTCCATTTCGAAGTATTAATACCCCGAACAATACTTTGAACGTAGTCACTTGGGCTCTTAATATAATTTTCTATCTTCTCAGTGACACAGTACGAATATTGTGTTGGAAATGAGAGCAGAAGCGATGCCACATCAAGCTGCAGATCTAGGTGCTCATAATTCTGATCAAATCACTGATCATGAAAGCCCAAACATTGCAACAACTGTTGGAATTGCAGAATTTCGGGATGAAACTCCACCGAGGAAATTCGATGAGAACTTGCCCGTCGACGCTGGAATAATTGCAGACAAGATTGAAGTAAAGGTCCAATTGGAAGAACAAGCGCTGGTTGACTCGACTCTGGAAGGATGGAGATTTCAGTTTGTGAATCTAGCGTGGGATTCCCTTGAATTGGAAACATCTCAAAAGATGGACTAACCCAAACAGAATGTGTTTGATGGTGACCCGACTCGACAGGCACGCAGTGGCTAATTCATTCTCATGGTAACAAAAATTCATTTTTTACAGGCGCAGCCATGACAACGGTGAAAATCAACCTTCCGCAAAGGTTTCAGGTTGTGAATGGAAACTCTCCTCTCGAAGCAGCTTATCGATTGTTGGCTCTGACCACTAGCATACCATTTGGTTCATCTATAGGCGGAGTCCTTGTCCAAAAATTATGCATCCCCTTCATATGGGTCTTGATGGGGTTTGCGCCGCTACAAATCGCCGGTCTAGTTCTTCTTGGCTTCTCTTCATCAAATAAAGATAATCCAAACGCGATCTACGGATACCAAGTAGTGGAAGGACTTGGGCTCGGGGGGAGCCCGGGGGTTTCTATTATGATGGTATCGTTCATCGCAACCAAGCAAGATATGGGTGAGTACTGATTGAAATTCACTTCCTGATGAATATTGATCGCGTAGCTACCCCCAAAAAGAAAAGATTCCGAAGACCAACGTGTTATTCGCTTGGCAGCGGTAGGAATAAGTCGCGCGGGCCAGTTTCGAGCTCTTGGGGGATCGATAGGAATCGCAATCTCTACCAATGTGCTCAATAATCACATCACCTCCGCTCTTTCTTCGATAATTTCTCCAATACAGCTTCACGAGCTTTTCCAATCGGCTGAAGTCCTCACAGAATTCCCTCGCATGCTTTTGGCTATTACAAGAAATGCTTACTCTGATGCATATAACACTCAAATGTTTGTTCTTGCTGCTTTTAGTGCTGCAACTTTGATGACTACTGTACTATTTTTTGGAAAAGACGCCGAGGAGGATGACGAAATCGCAATGCCTTCGCTGCGATAATTCTCAGCGAAATGCACTTATTTGTACTGAGTAGAATCCGAGCAGAGATTCTGTATAGAGCTATGGATGTAGTTCGTTGAGCATGATTCTGGAGGGTGTCGATAAGGTTATGAGAGCGTTTGTGACTGAAGCAATCGTTCTGTTTAGGTCTACAAGCTAGTACTTTATATAGGCCTCAGCTCCATCGAGATTTATCGATAAATTTAGTTCAAAGATAAAAGAACTTTCCTCATTATGCTCTTGAAGTGATGAAACAGAGATTGTAGCTATGGGAAAAATCCGAGCATCGAAGAGCAAGAAAATGCAAGGCACTGACTCAAAGTAGTAGTATCTTATCATTCGAAAGTTGCAACACGCATTCCCAGCTCACGTTATTTGAATGGATATCCCTGAGAATCCAGACCTTTTCCAGGAGAGGCAAAATAGTACTTCGATGATGCATGAATGGATCATTCAATGGTGGCGAAGAAAACATCTTTCTGAAAACATCTCGTTCTTCTACTTTGGCCACACATCCCAATATGTACAAGGGACACACGATAGCACGGATTGGATCCCCACTTGATATGGTTGGCAGCATGCTCAAAGGTTCGGCGATAAGACTGTACAAGTCCGGCTTTTCTTCAACAACCTTAAACCCATGAACGACAAGCTCCAAATAAATGCAGGCAGCACGAGCAAAGAGCCGTGTTATGACAGCTTGATCGCTTATCCGTGATCCACCATGTGATGTCGTATTTGGATTTGTAATACGAAGTTCTGTCAAGAATTGTTCATTTAAGCCACGTCGGATGGTTTGTCTGATGACATCGGCCTGTGTCTCGAACGAATATGTATCAAAGGTACCGCTCTGAAGTCCGTTTCGTTTAGATTCATGTAGTATAGAAATACGGCCTATTTCAGTCATAACCCAGTTCTTGCAGCCCATAATTTTCTCTAGCTTGATCTGGCGGCCAAAAGCCATATGATGGAGATCAAGAAGTTGTGGTGACTTTCCTGTAGTCATACAAGACACCACGTCCAACCACATAACCACCCCGGATAGAAACAAAAAAATTATAGAGGGCTCATTGTTGAGCAGTTCACAAGCTGTTGGTGGAGTGATGGCTGCCGATTCATCATTGGCCCATAAGCCAAGCTCGGCAGCATGCGTTCGGTACCCCTGGCCAAACAAATCGGTAGCCGCGCGGAGATGAATTTGCCATGAGCTTTTTTGTACACCAAAAAGCTATTCGATAACTTAGCAAGACTTTTGAAAAGTCATACATTGTATTAAAGACGCGACTTACCTCGAAAAAGACAAGTTGAACAACACAAGCCATAATTGCAAGACTACTCCCCACGCAAATTTCCCTGCCATAGACGCAGTCTTTAGCACAATCCTGGGCGGATCTAATTGCCTCTTGAAATTCAGTCAAACAAATAGCAAGGTGGCTCTCTTGTTCGGCGATGCTGGGCTTTGTACATCCACCGGAAGTCAGCTCACGAAGTACAACACCGCGATGGTAAGCGCTGAGACCAATTGATGCATGATATAAAGGTTTAGTCTTTAGCAGAAGGGAGAGTAGCCACCCTCGTCCTCCTTCAGACACTGCAGGCTTATACATAGGATATTGCAGCGGAAATACATTATCCACGAAATGCATTAGTAAAGCTGCTTCATTATTTGTAATTATCGGTGTACCGAAAAATGCGTTTCCACTTTCTGGCGTCGTGCCCTGGATTTTGTTAGTCATTCATCAATGCTCAATTATGATCATCTTACCGTGGAAGTTTCCGCTGATATACTTGGACTGGACTGCGCAGGGGAAGATCCTGATGAAGTTTTATGATAAGCTGTATCTTCAATTGCTGTAGAAATGGCTCTAGTGGGTGCAGTTGTGGTCTTTGGTGCAATGTTGACGGTGGAAGCCTCTGTATTTAACCCGTTATTCGGAGCCACGTTTGAACCAGTCTGTCGACCCTTTCGACGTGATGTGTATTTGACAATTTGTTTAATACTATTCGCCATCTCTTTCTCTCTTGGTCCATTATCCATCCAATCTGGCTTAGCCCCGTATCCATAGCACGTTATCGCTAAGGATTCGCATGTGGAACATGGTGATGGTTTCCGCTCATCGCATTTCTTCTTACGCAAACGGCAGGTCCAACAACCCGATTTACTTCGCAGTAGATTGTTCATCGTGGAAACCCCCAATGGAATAGGTATCAAGCGATAAAAACAATCTATTGAGTTGGATTACAGTCAAAAAGCTTTAATGATGACAGTTTCAACAGTCAGACCGCATTTCTAATGCTTAGAAATGCCTCAATGTCAATATAAAATTGTTTCCGCTAGCGCACCGCCCCCGCAACGCCTCAAAGCCACCGTCCGCCACGTCAATCCAGCCACATATTGATATCACTGGACTCGGGCTCCACATGGGCAGCTCCAGTTGTTAAAAATGCATCAAACGATGATCCACAACAATCTTGAGAAATATGTAGAAACTGCTCGTAACGATGCGATCTCATTGAGATAACAACCATCCACCATAGTATCGCTAGAATGATTTCTTATAAAAACAAAACGAAGATTGAAATTTCTATCTTAACGGCCTGGACACCCACCCAAGTGCTCAACTCTCGCACAAGGGAGGAAGAATACATCGAACCTATACACATTACTGGGGAGAACGATTAACCATTACAAGCTGTATCTAAGAAATTAAAAGTCTTCTTTCCTCGAAGCCTTTCCGCTTCTCCGGAATCGCTGCTCATAAGAGCTAAACTAATCTGTCATTTTGTGCCAATCAGTTTGGAATCAAAAACACCATCAACCGCTAGAACTCAACCCACATTCCCACAAGCGTAATCCATTGCAAAATCCCATTCTGAGGAGATGGGAAAGGTAACATCAGACATGGGCAATACAGCAAATGCATGTGAGGCAGACGTGCAACAGTAACCATTCTTCTCCAAGATTAACCAATTACCTTTGCTATGCGGTCATCTGGAGGTCTTCAAATCCAACTAGCCACCGATATATGGAAGATCTTGATGATAAGTGTTATGGCTGGGTTAGTCAAGTTGCTTGTGCTGGCTAGGATGGAAGAATATTTGATGTAGGGAGCAAAGATCTACAACTAGTTGCGAATTAAAAGAATTGTATGCAAGAAATTGGGTGAACTAAAAGGCTTGGAATATTATAATTTTAACCGTTAAGCTATCATGACGAGGTTCCTGAGATGCAGGGTGTCAAGGCGGCAGTAGTTGGAACTTAGCGTCGGCTCAAGTTTTTAGTATCAAACTACCCGTTGATCCCCCCCACATTTAGACTTTTTCTTGGACATTAGCTTGGGTTAAGTTGAAGAATGATATAACTTACAAGTTAGGAGTAGGAAACAAAACGCGAAGTGTTTAGAACAAGACGAGATCTTCGTCCCTATGATGGAAATAACCCGCTTTTTGTTGCTAGTCACCAATCTGACGAGAGAATGAAAGATTGACTTTGGATGAAAGAACTTAAATTCACAACATGACAAGAAAACCCGAGTACAAATCATCTAGAATAGACGTTTGCCAACCAGCAAAAAAATCATGTGCTTTCTTTCTCCCACTTTCTGAATTCAAGTTGGTACTGAGCTCGCCAGGATTCACCCAACTTGAGTTAAGGGAATAGAGGCATGTTTCTCGATTGCACCATAGCACCCCGTACCTAGTAGTCTCAAAACAGCCCATCCGGTTTTGTATCTTAATTTGAGGAAAATTTGAGACCTCAATTATTATTATTACAGGTTGTTATCTTGCATATAGTCATATAGATCGTAACTCTTAATGCATGATCATACTCCATTGTCCCAAGAAAAAAACCAAGACGCAACATTTCTCCCTCCCCTTTCAAGAACAAAAATTTATCTAGCACACCTATAGCTCTCATTCAAACCTCCATCTCCTATGACCTATCGGTGATCTTCGATTACAGATTACAAATTAAAGTAGAACATCAAAAAATGAAAAAGATCATATCTCTATATCCAATATTGATGTGCAAGATTGTGAGAGCATTAGAGTGTTGTTACCGCTGCGGGAATTGGACCTGTCGATGAACGCTTGGATTTCGATCTTGGAATAATCTTATCCCGTTTGCGAATTGATCTTCCACTTAAAGTGATTTCAACAATAGCTTCTAATTTAGAAATGCGTAGCTCGAGGCTATATCCTTTTGCAATCAGACTCTTCATACGTTTTTGATATTTCTCACTACAGTCATCGTTGAGCTGATTGCCCTCCTTTCGGGCAGGACCTGGGCAATCACAGCCAAATCCTGGGGTGTTAGTCTTATCACACCCAGGTAAATGCTTCAAGGTAGAAACGAATTCGGTAGGAGAAGAAGAGGGTTCGCCGGAATTATTGATTTCTTCCATTCCACCAAGACCAGAATCTATCTTGACCATGGGTGGTATGATAGACAGAGAACGATCTATTCTCTTTCCAAATATTGCTGTTCTTGTCCTCCAGTCACGATGCCCCTGATTTTCTAGACGGGAGAACCTGGCCAAATCATTGTTGTTCTCGTGATTTATCCACGCAAGCGGGCCACCTTCACCTTCTACATAAGCTTTACCATGTACCCATCTCCAGAGCTTTGCCTCCGTTGAAGCCAAATAAAACTCTTGCTGCTCTTGCGATTTCTCCCAAGTATCCCACTTTCGGCGTCTGGATTGAGTGAAATTTTTGAGGGATTCGAGTCGGTTGGGCAGTTGTATATCATTGCCGAGAATGTACATCAATCGAGCGTCGTAAAGTTGAGACGTTCGCTCAATCACGATACTCCTACGACAAATCTCAGTTTCCTTTGTGATCCATACCCATCTTCCGTGGAGCAAATGGTTCTTCACTACTTCCATGCTGGTTTCCCCTACACTTTGGTCTTCTGTAGGCAGGGCTACGAAATTCCTCCAGTCGTTTAGTAAATAGTCGTTGTGGTCAATTCGTAGAACACAATGCTCCAACATATC